ACTTTCTCAGTAGCCATTTGTAGTGTCCTAGCCAAAACCATAACTGTGGTTGTGGCTTTCATGGCCACTAAACCTGGTTCTCAGATGAGGAAATGGGTGGGGAAAAGATTGGTTTTCTCTGCTGTTCTTTCCTGTTCTCTTGTCCAAATATGTATTTGTATAATTTGGTTGTAAACATTTCCATCATTCCCTGAGTTGGACACGCACGCAGAGCTCCAAGAAATGATTTTACAGTGCAATGAGGGGTCAGCTTCCTTCTTCTACCGTGTCTTGGGCTACATGGGTATCTTGGCCATCACCAGCTTTATTGTGGCTTTCTTTGCCCGTAAATTACCTGACAGCTTTAACGAAGCCAAGTTCATCACCTTCAGCATGTTGGCCTTTTGCAGTGTGTGGATCTCCTTCTTTCCATCCTACTTGAGCACAAAAGGAAAAGCCATGGTAGCCATGGAGGTCTTCTCCATCTTATCCTCCAGTGCTGCATTAGTGGGATGCATATTCCTTCCAAAGTGCTACATCATTGTTTTGCGGCATGACCTAAACCATAGAGTGCAACTCATAAAGAGGAATTAATACATCATGTGTTCCTTCTGGCTATGGAAAAAGATTAACAAAAAAGAGTGGAGAGCCTGCTATTTACAGGAAATTATAGACATCATTATTTCTTTTCTTATTTTTTTAAATAAATTTATTTAATCAACATTTATATAATTAAAAATATATTTACATTTTACAGCGTGGTTTAAGCAGTAGGTACACTTGTCCTTTTCTTCTGATAGCATGTTATAGATTGTTATAATAACTCCTTCTTCATTTTAAATTCTATATATGCATACATATAGTTTGGTATTCAGCTTTGTTTGGGTGTTTTCCCATGTCATTATAGTTGTGCTTTTAAAGTTGTAGCAACGTTTCAGAATCTCAACTGCCATCATCAGGCTTCTGTATTGTGTTCATCTGTGAGTCAGGCTTTCACAGCCGTTTCTGTTTTAAATTTGGTGCTAGCCATCTGCTGTGCCAGAATGTTTTTTTCTTCACCCTGATTGGTTGGGAGTCTTGGCCTGTGTTTATTGGTCTTGGAGTTTGCTGTGTTCTGCTTGATTGGTGTTTCTAATATCTTCTGTCTGTTTTGTGGCTTTTTTTGTCTTGATTGGCTGGCAACATTGTGTTTCCTGTATTGGAGGCTTTTAGTGCAGTTTGGCTCCAAGTAAATGGATGGCTATCATTTATTAGGAAGCTAGATTTCATCTGGGTGGCTGGTTGGGGTGTGTTTGTGCTGGAGGTATCAGAGGGAGTCTGTTTGTGCTCAGGTGTTTGCTTGACTTGTGGTGTGGAGATTTTTTTGTTTGAGAGTGCAGGCTTCCAGATAATTGACAGTCTGATGGAGTCATCTCTTCTATTCATGCTTTCAGGTCTTTTTTCAATCTCTATGGCTTCTCTGATAATTCTGTAGGTGGGGTTTTCTACAGTGGCTAGAGTTTTGGTGCCATTGAAGTCGATGCTATGACCTGTGGCTTTCATGTGTTGAACTAGTGAGGAAGTGTGTTCTGGCTTTTTTACTGCATTTTTGTGTTCATCTAGACGGGTACTTATTCTTCTATTGGTCTGTCCAATGTATGTAGCAGGGCATGATGCACAGAGGACTTGATATATGCCTTGGTTTTCCAGGTCAATTTTATCTTTGGGGTTTCTTAGGATGGCTGCTATTTTTCTGTCTGTTTTGAAGGCAGTCTTGATGTGATGCCTGTGTAGCATCTTACTGATTTTGTCTGTAGTACCTCTTAGGGCTGTCCTGAATTCAAATGAAGTTCTCATTTTGCTACATTTCAGACATTCTCCAAGATTGTTTAACCAAACCCTTTTCTCCCCTATGGATTATATCAAGCTAACAAGATTTCAAGCATCTATCTCTTTAGATTCTTAGCAGATTTGAAAGATTTACTTTAAGAATGCCTAAAGGTTTGCAGGTTCCAGTTCATGCTTTTTATTACTTCACTTCATAAACCACTGTATAAATATGGGGCAAGCTAATGAATGTTTTAGAGACATGTATTTAACACAATATCATTGGGGATCCATTTTGGATTGATTCTTCTTCTTTGAAATGTAAACATTAGAAAATTTCTGAACATTTAACATATGTTTTTAAAAATGTTTCACAAAGGATCAAGGCCACTTAATCTCCATCCACCAATGTCTTTCAACTGTACCTAATCATTCAATTTTAATAATATTCAAATATGGGGGCACTATATAAAATGTAGTCTTCCTTCTAACCCATCCTATGAGAAATATATGTTGACCATTGACCATAATAAATTTTGATTTAATTTGGTTTGATTTAGGTGTGTCTTCCACTAGTCTTTCGGATGAGACCCTTTCCATTATGCTAACAAAATGTCTAATAAAATACCACACCATGATAGAAAGCAGGAGATCATGAATTCAAATCTCACTTTAACCAACTGGGTGATTTTATGATAATCCTTCTCTCTCAGGCCAACCTACCTCAGAAGGTCATTATTTGGGGGGGGGGAATAGGGAGAAGAAAGTGTGTTAGATAAGTTCAATGCCTTGAGTTATTTGTAAAAATAATAAAACCATGATGTGATCCTCTAGCTAAAATTATGCACAGTTTGGTGAACACACAAATCCCATCCCTGGCTGGCTCTGCCCACCCCACCTCTTCCACCTCAGGAGTCCCCACACGGCCCATTTTGGATGCCAGGTAAGTACAGGGCCTATGTGGAAGCTCAGAGAGGGCAAAAAATGGGCCTCCCAGAAGTTCCAGAAGGGCAGAAACGGGTCCATTTCTGGCCTCTGGGGCCCTCCCAGAGACTTGAGGAAAGCTTCCAGAGCCTGGGGAGGGCAAAAACAGCCCCTTGCCATGATGGTCCAGGAGGCCAACTAGGCCATGCCCACCATGGTCACACCCACCAGCAACCAGGTAGAGAACTGGTTGCTGAAATTTTTGAAGCCCTGTTTTTATTCCATGATGTTAGTATTGCTGTGGATTCACATTAGCATTCTCTCCCTGAAAATGTGGATGAAGTTCTCCTTCAAATGGCTATGTGGTTTAATAGGCATTCCTTAACAGGTAAAAAAGAGTTTCCTCTATTAAATGGTTGTTCATTTTACCTGGTAAATGGGAGTCCTGCTCCATTGTAAGAAACTTTGAATTTGAACAATGAAGCCAATTTTTATCATCATTCTCCTTTATTTTTATTTTTATTGGCTTCTACTCAATATTAAACCACCAGACACTTATTATCTCACCAATAACAAAATAATTATTTCCTATAGGAATCACAATATTTTTAGGGCCAGACTTGCTGAGCAAAAGCATGTTAAAATTCAACAACAATCAAGATGCAAGCATCTGTTTACTTATTCATTATCTCTTGAACCACAGGGAGAGAGGGATAAGGGGAGGGGGGAGCCAGTTGGATTCATTGCTATATAGTCCTTTCTACCTTTTCTTCCTGCCAGAAAGACTTTACATATCCTAGTGTTAGCCAAAGTATGAATTTGCACTCACCATGGATCTCAAATAGATAGTGATGGATTTTATCATGAGGTGAATTGTCAGATACAAACCTTAGCTCAATCATTGGATGAACATTGGATTACTTTCCTATGGATCTGATAAAAGAGACAGACAATTTTACCATAACTAAAGAGTCAAAATGTTGTTCCTTCTGATATTTTGGGGTCACAAACAAATTGTCCAGAGCTGCCCTGCAAGTGATGCTTTCCTTGTTCCACAAGAGTGGTTCCAGCCTGGCAACATTATCATTGGTGGGATGATGTCTCAATTTTTCTACCATTTATATGAAATTGAATTTAAGGGACATCCATCTCTAATACAGTATGATTTACCAATGTAAGGATTTTTTTTTCTTCCCATGAAGTTTATAATCTTAAACACAATCCCCACCCCCAAATGCTTAAAGGAGTAAAAGCATTTTGAGCATAAATGAAAGGTTTTGTATAAAATCTATGACTTCTTTGTATTTCAGATATATGTGGTTTCTGGCTGCTTTGTGTTTCAAATATATCTTTCCTGCACTCTGAAAAGAGTGCAGAAAAGAGCAACAAAGATAATCAGGGGCCTGGAGGTTAAAACATATGAAGAACAGTTGCAGGAATTGGGTATGTCTAGTCTAGTGAAAAGGACTAGGGATGACATGATAGCCATATTTGACAGAGAAGAAGAGGTAAAACCATTCTCCAAAACACTTGAAGGCAGAAGAAGAAACAAGGGATGGAAACTAATCAAGGAGAAAAGCAACCTAGAACTAAGGAAAAAATTTCCTAATAGTGAGAAAAAATAGCCTTTGGAGTGGCTTGCCTTCAGAAGGTGTGGGTGCTTCATTACGGGAGGCTTTTAAGATACTGGACAGCAATTAGTCTGCCATGGCATAGGGTCTCCTGCTTGAGCAGGGGGTTGGACTAGGAGACCTCCAAGGTGCCTTCCCTGTCCCTGTTATTCTGTTGTTTTGGTTGTGAGGGAAGAAATGATTTTCTTTACATTTTATTCTATTACATTACTAGTATTCATCGCAAAATGTATGAAATTTCGGTGGAAGATGTTTTTGAAGAACATTTAGTTAGCTTAAATTAACTAATTGTTTTTTATGATTGTTCACTGCTTTTTAATGAGCAACTATAATAATTGAATAAACAAACAAACAAATACATGGACATGGTCATATTCTATTTTTTAGTAAACTAATAAAAATAAATGTGGAAGTTTGCAAAAAAGGCAGTCATTTATTTGATATAATATACCATTGTTGAAAAACATGAAAACACTGTCTGAAAAGTATATTTCAACTCTGTACAAGTTATTGAATATTTTAGAATTATTCATACTTCCAACAAGGATAACATTATTTGTTAATCATATAAAAATAATGCTACTTTATAAAAAGGATGAAGTATCTTTTTTCAACTGGAGTATTTAAATCATTGGCAGTGTAATAACTAAATTCTACCAGCATGTCCTTGCCATGGCCTTTGCTGTAAAGGAGATCAACGAGGACTCCCAGATCTTACCTAACGTCACTCTTGGGTTCCACATCCATGACAGTTACCACAACACAAGGATGACCTATCGCACCACTCTGGACCTGCTTTTCAAATCCCAGGAATTTGTTCCTAACTACAAATGTGATAGCCAGAAGAATCTCATGGCCATCATTGGAGGATTGGATGCTCCGACTTCATCCTACATGACACAAACTATAAATATCTTCAAGATTCCACAGGTAATTTTTGCACGAGGCTGAAAGAGAAACTTTGACTTCTTTTTTTAATGAATATCAGAGATGATTATTTTTCAGTGCCTTTCTGCAAGATGTCCATTAAATCCACTTTACTGTCCCTTCTACATTTTCTGTGGTGGCATAGTGGTTAGAATGCTGTACTGCGGTATAATTCTACTGACTGCCAGAGGTTCAATCTTCACTGGCTCAAGGTTAATGAAGCCTTCCATCTTTCCAAGTTTGATAAAATGAGGATGCAGATTGTTGGGGGCATTATGCTGACTCTGTAAACCACTTATGTAGAGAAGGCTGCAAAGCACTGTGTGAAGCAGTATGTAAGTCTAAGTACTATTGCTATTTTGCCCACAATTCACTCAAGGTAATCCAATCAACAAAAAATGAATTATGATGATAGATCAGAAAATCTAAAACAAACATTACACAACAAATTAAACTTATTTGATGCATGCAAGTAACATTGTGATATAATTAGCACCCAAGATTTAGTGATTAACTCTCTTCGTTATGTCTCAGTTTGTGTCTGATAATAATAATTCGATTTGCCTGGAAGGATTGGGGCTATGTGATACTTTTGGAGATCACTATAATAATTGCAGTAAAGGAGAACATGCTTGACACTTTCTTTTCTTCAAGAATTTCATGCATAGTCTTTCATTCTTAAGTATTTTATTATATCTACTGCAGAGTTGGACAGAGTGTTATCCAACAATAATTTTTAGGGTGGGTAGAATTGACATATTGGGGTAGTGAGAAAATATCCAGCTGTTCATGAGGATGTGCTTTCTGAAACTCTTTCTTTATTCTAATAAATAATAACTTTCCTTCCATTACTGTATATTCCCTTTTCTTTTCTTTCTTTTCCTTCCTTCCTTCCTTGCTTTATGCCTTTCTTTTTCTTCCTTTTTTTCTTTTCTTTTAGTTGACCTATGGTTCTTTTTCCCAAGAAGAGTTCCAACCTATTAAGTTATCTTCAGTTTACTGGATGGTCCCAAATGAGGACTATCAATACTTTGGAGTTATACAACTTTTCCTCCATTTTGGATGGACATGGATTGGAGTCTTTGCTTTTGAAACAAAGGGAGAACATTTTTTGCAGAAACTGTATCCATTGCTTTCAGAGAATGGGATCTGTTTAGCTTTCACACAAAAACTTCCAGAACGTATCAACTTGGAATACTTCCAAGAATTATTTGTTTTATTCACAAGCATTTCTAATAAATTGATAGATCAGAAAGCAAATGCTTTTCTTGTTTATGGAGACTCATTCACAATAGTGTGGCTCAGAACTGTCGTGGTTCTACATGATCCTGAAAATAAAGAGATTGCATTGTTTAGGAAGGTTTGGATCCTGATGAATCCGATTGATTTCATATTGACAGGATTTCAGAGGGGTTGGGATCTCCAGTTGTTCCATGGGGCTCTTTCCTTTACAGTGCATTCAAGAGAAGTTCAAGGCTTCAAAGAATTTCTTCAAGTCATCAAACCTTCAACCCACAAAAATGGATTTCTTCAAGAAGTTTGGCAACAGTTGTTTAACTGTCTGCTTTCAAAGGCAGACTTACCATCTTTGATCAATGAAACTTGTAGTGGGGAAGAGAATTTGGAGAATTTGCCTGCCCCTCTGTTTGAATTTCAGATGACTGGCCAAAGCTACAGTATCTACAATGCTGTTTATGCAGTGGCATATTCTTTGCATGCGGCAATACAATCAAAATCCTTACCAAGAGAAATTCAAAGGGTTGAATTTCTGGATATGCAACCTTGGCAGGTAATCATTCTGTGCCATACCTATCTTGTGTTTCAGTCATCATAGCTTATTTATCCTATGGTCACTTATAGAGAGGCAACAAAGCTATTAGTGTCAGAGGTTATTCTATGTTCTAAAATAAAAGAGTATGGACACAAATAACCTCTTTGTCAGTTTTAGCCTAGCAATGGAATTTATGTATCAATTTTCATTCCATAAATAACTGTTTCATCTCCACATTGAATTGGTCAATCTTATAAATTTACCCAGCCTGGTTTCACAAAGGATCTGGCTCAGTGATGGTGAAACTTTTTGTTGTGGTGTGCTGAAAGCACATGCATGTGTGATTGCGTGTGTGCATGCCAGCACCCACAGTGCAATGTGCCCCCTGCACATGCATGTGCAGAACCCACCACCACCACTTTACCTGCACTGCGCATGCATGCAGCTCCCAGATGATTTTTGACCCATTTGAGGCCTTTTTCGGCCTCCCAGAGGCTCAAGGGAAGCCTCTGCAGCCTTTGCAGGCCAAAAATCAGGCCCATTTCATCACTTCCTGTATTTCCAGAAATATGGGAAATGATGAAACGGGCCTGTTTTCAGCCTCCAAAGGCTACAGAGGCTTACCTTGAGCCTCTGGGAGGCCAATAAAGGCCTCAAATGGGCTGAAAATCAGCTGGGAGTCACATGAATGTGCAGTGCAGGTAAGTTTGGCTGGGGCTTATGTGCCCACACAAATGGCTCTCTGTGCCACCTGTGGCAGGCATGCCATAGGTTCGTCATCACGGATCTAACTAGTTTAGTGAAGAAAAGGACCAGGAGAGGCATGATAGCAGAATTCCAATATTTGAGGGGCTGCCCCAAAGAGGAGGGGATCAAGCTATTTTCCAAACCACCTGAAGGCCAGACAAGGAATAATGGATGGAAACTGAACAAGGAGAGATTCAACCTGGAAATAAGGAGACATTTTCTGACAGTGAGAACAATCAACCAATGGAACAGAAGTTGACTTCAGAAATTGTGGGAGCTTCATTACTTGAAACTTTTAAGAAGAGATTGGACTGCCATTTATCAGAAATGGTGTAGGGTCTCCTGCTTGGGCAGGGGGTTGGACTAGATGACCTACAAGGTCCCTTCCAACTCTGTTAATCTGTAAAAATAAAGGATTCAATTGCATTGTGCCTGAAGGCAGGATATCTTTTTTTGTGCTCCCCTCTCAAAACAAAAAAAACTTTTCTAAAATGTGGACATTTCACTTTTATTAGCTTTTTGCAATTTATTCAAGACAGGATTGTTAGATGGGAGACCTAGGACTCATCATACTATCATACTATTTTTGGTAATAGAGATATATTATATTTCTATGAAATGATATTGCAGGAGAAATGCTGAGTTTGGTTAGAATTTGTCATAATTGATTAATAAAACAAAAGTGAGTTCCACATCTCAGTTATTAATCATTCTTTGTGGGTGGACATTTCCTTCTTCTATATTTCAAACCAAGAAATGTTTTTCCTATCCTCCTTCAAGTAGCTGCACAATTTTCTTCAAGAGGTTTCTTTTAACAACTCAGCTGGAGAAAGAGTCTTCTTTAAAGACAGCAGAGAAGGTCCAGGTGGCTTTGACATCATCAACATGATCACTTTCCCAAATAGATCCTTTCAGAGAGTTAAAGTTGGAATGTTACACCCCGATGCTCCAAAAGGAAAAGAAGTTATGATTGAGAACAGAATCTTTTGGCACCCTGGTTTTAATCAGGTATGAAAACATGTTCATCTACAAAGGAATACATCCCCTCATAAAATGTTCTCATGAAGTTGTATTATTTTCAGAATAGGTCTCCCATCATTTTTTTTCAAATGTAATTAGAAACTGAACTTCTGCAATGGTCTACAGAAAATCCATATTATGTAACAATGCTGTAGATGATAGATAGATGGTAGATAGATAGATAGATAGATAGATAGATAGATAGATAGATAGATAGATAGATAGATAGATGCATACATACATAGAAATAGATGAGAGAAAAAGAGGGGGTGGTGGAAGACATTGGAGAAGGGAGAAGAAAGGCTAAAGGAAATATATTTTGCTGATATATTTTTCATGCCTACAAAAAAATCTTTTTTTTCCATTTTTTTATTATATAGGCTTCAATGAATGCAATTCTTTTGAATTGTATAGTACTAATTGCACTAATTTTGGAAGGTGTTCATAGTCTATTCACATGGATCAAAATCTCTTGTCTGTAAATAAAAGATATCTATGAATTATTGTGCACTGTGCTAGAGAGATGGAAAGAAAAGAGAGAGAGAGAGAGAAAGAGAGAGAGAGAGAGAGAGAGAGAGAGAGAGAGAGAAAGAAAGAAAGAAAGAAGGAAGGAAGGAAGGAAGGAAGGAAGGAAGGAAGGAAGGAAGGAAGGAAGGAAGGAAGGAAGGAAGGAAGGAAGGACCACCATATTTTATTTCACTAGGTAACCCTTCATTTATATTAACAGTAGTTATTATTCAGAGTTGCAATTTCTTCTTCTTTTGTTCTTGTCCCTATGATTTCAGGAATTTCTACAACCCCTCCTCTAAATATTAATAATATCAAATATTATTCATATAATCCAATTTAGATAATTTCCATTGTCTAATCTATATGCTTTCATATCTACATCTATCTCTCTAGCTTCTGCCTGTTTCTCTCTGTAATAACCCTTGTTCCCCAGGTTATTGGAAGAAAAGGGCTGAAGGGAGAGCATTCTGTTGTTATGATTGTGTTCCATGCCCAGAAGCAAAGATTTCAAATCAAACTGGTATTTCCACAATATATATTTTTATTATACCATTAATTTTTCATTAATTAACCATTCATTATATACAGTTCAAAGAAATGTAACATCCTGGATGTGTATTTGTATAATTAAAACTTTTACCAATATTTAATGAGATATATTTTTAGCTCATTCTCAAATTTGTTTATGGAAACCCTGCAATTATTATTCCACTGGGGATAGATGGATAAATGATACAGATAGATAAGATAGATAGATAGACAGACAGACAGAAAGATAATAGGATAGATAGATAGATAGATAGATAGATAGATAGATAGATAGATAGATGATAAATTAGATAGAGATAGATTAAAAGTTAGATAGAGAGATAGATATAGATAGGGAGGGAGGGAGGTAGATAGATAGATATAAATTTTATTTTACCACTGAAAGGAGGGGGTGGGGAGAGGGGTGGGGGAGAGGGGAGGGGGAGGGGGGAGGGGGAGGGGGAAAGGAGGAAGATTAGGAGAATGAAGAGGAACAGGAGCTAATATTCACAATTCTACTTTTTTTTGCAATGGTGTTTTTGTCTCTGCAATTTTCAGTTTTCATGTAATAATATTAAATATTGAGAATACTGATGGTCATCCATTGCTTTAATTACCTTTGAGTGCTATGTGAATATAGGAATTTTCAATAACAGATACTGATTCCTAATATTTCCAAGATTATATGCTGAGCCAAATTGCTTGAGATGACAACCTACTCACTATAAATCCAGCTATGCAATGTCTGACCTAATAAATATATGAATGAGAGAAGATCAGTCAATGACATAGAGTAGACTCAGAATTAAGGAAAAAGGATGCTAGAAATCACAACAGCAAAGTAATTTCTTCTTACAAAAAATGTGAACATACCATTGGAGTTTATGGGCACTGACTTATTTCAAATTCTTTATCATTTTTTTTCTTTTTTGCCAAATAAAGCATTAAAATCAAATTTTAACTTCTGATTAAAATTTAAATAATGAATGTCTATTTATGTTTCTTGGATCCTACCTTTTTTTTTCAAATAAAATTGCTGATCTTTTCTTAGTTTACTCACTCTTTAGGAAACAGGAAAGCTAAACAGGTTTAAATGAATTATATTGTTTGCACCTCAAAGTCCGCACTTCTCATTCTCTTGTTATATATCCATCACCACAGTTATTTTTTCTATGTTTTGAGAAAATGGGAAACCCTACATTGGCTATATTGTAATAAATTTGAAAGTGTTGAAAAAATTCATTTCAAAGAATAGCAATAGCACTTAGACTTATATACCACTTTATAGTGTTTTACAGCTATCTCTAAGTGGTTTACAGAGCCAGCATAGTGCCCCCAATAATTTGGGTTCTCATTTTACCAACTTTGAAAGGATGGAAGGCTGAATTAACCTTGACCCATTCAGAATTGAACTTCTGGAGTGAGCAGTGAGTTATCCTGCAGTACTGCATTTTAACCACTGCGCCACCATGGCTCTTCCCTTCATTTATGCCAATAAATGGCAATAATAATTACTATTCTCTTCATTTATGCCAATCCTAAATGATAAAATTGAGGAAAAAATATATTTTCATAAAAATATGATCCAATTGGTAATATGTGGCATGAACTCAAAATGGAATAACAGTTGGCAACCAACCAGATTATGATTAGGAGTTGTGTGATGCAGTAGTTAGAATGAAATATAGCAGGCTAACTCAGCTCACTGCCAGGAGTTTGATCCTGACTAGATCAAGTTGCCTCAACCTTCCATCATTCTGATGTCAATAAAAAACCCAGATTGTTGGGGACAATATGCCAACTCTGTAAACAGTTTAGAGAGGGCTGTAAAAATACTGCAAAGCACTATATAAGTTTAAGTGCTATTACTATAAAGTGAAACACGATTTGCTGATACAAAAGTAGAATTTATGCCTGTCAAATGTTGTGATCTTTGTCACTTTGACTGGAATGATATGATTGAAAGTTGGCCTTCTTAGCAATGAACTACACTCATTGTCTGTACTAAATGTAATGCTCAAGTATCTCTTGCACAAACCTGGTATAACAGACCTGTCAGCCACCACAGCTTTGTCCATTAGAAAAGAAAGACTGTTAGCCTGTTGCTATGGAATACAGAAATGAAAAATGTCTTGACTTTTTTTTCCAGATATGGATGACTGTTTTGAATGTTCACAAGATCATTATCCAAATAAAAAAAAGAAAGGATGTATCCTGAAACCAGTAGTCTTTCTACATTTCAAAGAAACCTTAGGAGTTAGTTTAGTCTCCGCAGCTCTTTGTTTCTTCTTCTTGACATCTTGGGTACTTGGAACTTTTATTAAGCACATGGATACTCCCATTGTCAAAGCCAACAACTGGCCCCTCACCTACACCCTGCTTGTCTCTCTTCAACTTGGTTTTCTTTCTGCTTTGTTATTCCTCAGCCAACCTGGCAAAGTGACCTGCCTTCTCCGACAACCAACTTTTGGCATCACCTTCTCAGTAGCCATTTCTAGTGTACTGTCAAAAACCATCACTGTAGTTGTGGCTTTCATGGCAACTAGACCAGGATCTCAGATGAGGAAATGGTTGGGGAGAAGATTGGCTTTTTGTATTGTCCTTTCCTGTTCTCTCTTCCAAGTGTGTCTTTGTATTCTTTGGTTGTTAACATCTCCCCCATTCCCTGAGTTGGACATGCACTCCGAGATTCAAGAAATGGTTTTACAGTGCAATGAGGGATCATCTTCCTTCTTCTACTGTGTCTTGGGCTATATGGGTATCTTGGCCATTGCCAGCTTTATTGTGGCTTTCCTTGCCCGTAAATTACCTGACAGCTTTAATGAAGCCAAGTTCATCACCTTCAGCATGTTGGCTTTTTGCAGTGTTTGGATTTCCTTCTTTCCAGCCTATCTGAGTACAAAAGGAAAAGCCATGGTAGCTGTGGAGGTCTTCTCCATCTTGTCCTCCAGTGCTGCATTACTGGGATGTATATTCCTGCCAAAATGCTACATCATTGTGTTTAGGCCTGACCTCAACCACAGGGAGCAACTCAGAAAGAGAAATTAATGACACATGTGGTTTTTCTTGCTAGGAAAAATTGCTGACATAGTTGTTTCTGTCAAAAGAGGATTTATGGAGGATTACTATGTTTACTGAGATTTATTATGGGCATCCATTCCAAAAGAAATGTTCAGGCTGCTATATTTTCAACCATTAATTTAACCTAACCCTTTCTTATTTTGAATGTATAAGATTTTTAATTTCAATCCCTTTTCTTATTCTAAGGAATTTGAAGTAAACATGTATTTAACACAGTATCATAAGGTATCACTTTTGGATTGGTTGGATTTGTTAAATTCAGTATTTCTGGATGTTTGAAACCTGTACATATAATGTTACTTTAAAAATGATTTGTGCTGATTCTCTATCCATCTGACTCACTATCCATCCAACTATTTCTATTGTAACTTATCATCTGGTTAATTAATAATATGAAAAATTTAGTGAAACAAAATGTATTCTTCCTCATCATTATTCAAAGCATATTCTGGCTAATTAGCATAATGAAGAGTGATTTTGTTTGATAAATTAGAAGTATGCATTTTACATGTGGGCATGTAATGTGACACCCAGAAAAATATGGCGTACTTCACTTAATCCTCCAAGGAAAGATTGAAGGCAAATGAGGTCCAGGTAGAAGAAGGACATCATAGGTTCAAAATCTAAGGGATTGGTTTGGACAAAACTTAACAGCATTTTTTTGCATGGCTGTTGATAAAATTAGGATCACCAACATGATTGCCAACATCTGATGACAGATATGGCACAAGAAAATTTTACACAGAAACCAAAGGTCAAATTTAGCTCAGATCATAGAAAAAAATGTAGACCCCTTTTTTTATACAAGGAAGGCCCACCAAGACGGAGGGAAACTGAGTGTTTTATTGGATATGTATACACAGACACACAGACACAGATACAAATGTATACATACATATACAGCAGTGGTGAAATGCTACCTGTTCTTTCTGGTTCAACTGAACTGGTAGCAAAAATTGCTACCAGTTTGGCCAAACAAGTAGTAAAAAAAAGTTCTGATGATCAGCTGAGAGGAGAAAGATGCACTTTCCTGTTCTTTATCATCTCTGCTGATTGGCATGGCAGAGTGGCAGCTGGTGTTTGGAAAGCTGCATGCATGAGTGAAGTGTGCGATCATCGAACTAGTAGGGAAACTGGTAGAATCCTACCACTGATACACAGAGACAGTTTGAATGACAGACTTCATTTTACATTTCTCTTAATGATAATTGGCACACACAAAAAAATTACCTGCAGGCATCAGCATGTCAAGAGGCACTTCAATTTCAATTCATTACAATAAGAGATCTGTGGGGAAGAGGCAAGGAAAACATTTCTGATCATCCCAAAAGTGCTTTTTCAAAAGGCAATTGGACTTTCACTTCTCACCCAAGAAGCTTCTTCAGTGTCAAATCCCTCCCCCCTCTGTTGAGAGAGAGAGGGCTGTTCAGTTTTAATGTAGATGGTCTCTTTGACCCCATTTTCAAGCAGAGGAGGTAGGATATGATCTAGAGATACCACCTATCTCCTGTTTACAACACAGTTCTGTCAGTAAGTGCAAGAAGCTTCCACATCCATTTGCACTCTGATTTAGGTGATCCTGAGGACACAGATAAACCTCTGCCTTAATGACTTTTAGAGAGAGTGTTCATCAGCAGATAATCAGAAGGGATTTTTTTGTGGTCATATCAAAAACAACTGTGTTCTTTTCGCAGATGATGTAAAACTATTCAACACTGCTGACAATGCTGCTACACTTCAAAAAGACCTTGGCTATGTGTTAGAAAGGTCAAACAAGTGGCAACTTCAAATGTCAACAAACAAATGCACTGTCTTATATATTGGCAAGAAAAAACAAAAAATAAAATACAAGCTGGACAGACAAGATCTTGTAGATGACTCTCACTCTATCAAGGACCTTGGAGTTCTCATTTCTGATGATCTAAGTACTAGAGCCTACTGTATCAATATTGCCAAAAACTTAATTCTGTGAAGCTTTTTCTCCAGTAATATTGTACTACTAACTAGAGCATACAAAACATTTGCTAGACCAATTCTTGAATACAGCTCATCTGTCTGGATATTGGACATATGTATATCGGACATTAATACAATAAGAGAGCCCAGTGATACTTCACAAAAAGAGTCCTCCATTCCTTTACTCACAACACAATACCTTATGCCTCCAGACTTGAAATGTTATGATTAGATAACTTGGAACTACTCCACCTTTAGTCTGACCTAAGCATAATACATAAAATTATCCATTACCATGTCCTACCCATCAATGACTACTTCAGCTTCAATTGCAAAAATAAATGAGCACACAATAGATACAAACTCGGGGTAAACCGCACAAAATTTGATTGAAGGAAATACGACTTCAGCAACAGAGTGGTCAATGCCTGGAATATTCTACCTGATTCTATGGTTTCTTCCACTAACCCCAAACACTTTAACCTCAGACTGTCTACTGTTGACCGCATCCCATTCCTAAGAGGTTTGTAAGATGTGTGCATATGTGCACCAACATGCCTTCTGTCCCTGTCTTAAAGTTCCCTTTTATTCATTATCTATTTCATGTATTAATAATCATGTTTACACTTATATATATTAACAAATGCATGCTTGACAAAATAAATAAAATAAATAAATAAAGAGATATAAATGCTTCCATTCTCCACCATTCAGTGTGAACTGAAGAAGATTCTTGGATGAGAAGTGAAATGTCTTCAAGAAAAAAACAAAGAAAATTCAGTTCTAATCTTGACGTGCTAAGTTAGTTGCTCCACACCTTTTTGTAGATCAGAAAATAGAAATTGAAAATAGAGAGGGGTGCGGGTCGAGTGGCAGGACAGGGAGAACGGAGGTGAAGAAGTCTGGTGCAGGCTTCGAACACCTTTTCTGGCGTCAGGAGTGATCCCCCAGGGATACATGAACCCCGGAGAGGTTCATGTCAATGTGGAGATCCTCGAGCTGCAGAGGGGGGAAGGCAACTCCCCGACAGTGAAGAGGGAAGCTCCCGAGCCCGGCGCTAAAGAGTAAGCTGTCATTTTATGGTGGCTTCCAATCCGGTCTGCCACTTGAGTGAATAAGCAAAGCAGTGACAGCCTGCAAGATCGAGTAACAGGAACAGAGAAATGGTTTATATCTTGGATTCTTTGAAGTCTGAAGGGAGCAGAATGACAGAAGAATGATAGCATAAATTCTTCTCTCCTGGTTGTGATAAGCACCTCTCGGAAGTCGGGCAGAGAGCGGCCAGAAAAGCAGTTGGGAAAATGGAAAGATTATAATGGAGAGCGGAAAAGATTAAGCACAAAAGGAAAACACAGTTTTACCCTGTGAAGGGGAAGCTCTGGGGAAAGAGGGAGATTGCTAAAACCTGGAGATCGGAGGTCCGGAACTGGTGAGGGGCTTTATTTGACTCTTGGACCTTTCTTTTTGACTCTATTTGAGAAGAGGGAGGCGATGGAGGTGAAAGAATATTGACATTGATTGAGTCTTATGAATCTTCAGATCTGAGCACAACATGACTATTACATCTACTTAATATTGGGGAGAAGACAAATTGAGCATTATATTGGACTTTGGAAGATTTGTATGTGGATTTAAAAGTTGGAAAGCAAAGAAAGAAGAAGCAGCAAGAGGAAGAAGGCAGAGGCGAACAGAAGGCTGGGAAAGACGGTTTTGGGACTGCAGATTAGTCAGCACATTTCACCATTTGCTGATTGGAAGGCTGAAAAGAAACCTCTAGCTGGAAGATGGACCTTTAGCTCACCCAATTTGCTTTCTTTATTACGTGGTACTACTTAAGTTTACTAAGTTGGCACTATTTTCTCTTTAAGATGACTTCCTTGCTGTTTGTTTGTTGATTTTCTGAAGCTGTGGTAATCTCTCTTCTACCTCTTCTCTTATTATCTTGCCCCCTGCCTCCCTTTTGTATCTTCTAAATACTTTACATAATTCTACTTACTTGGGGGGGGGGGGAGAGGAGGATACACTATTATCAAAGAGTTAAGAGTTTACTGTTGTAAGTATTAATAGCAAAAAGGGATAAACTTTGTTGATATAATTTATTTATAAATTATTTAGACTACTTATGACATTTAAGATTAATCCCTTAAAGTGTTAATTGATGTACTATTGTGACCAATTTTCTTATTACATAGACTAGAATATTGTTGCAGATATCTATTTATGATATAGGGGAAAAGACTGTGGAGTGAGATATTAAATTGAAATACGTGAATAGTCTTTCAAGTATAGGACCCAAATACTGAATGGTGATTTGGGATAATATATTTAAAATTGTGCATCAACAAAAACAAATACTTAGAGAGATGACATCCACAACAACTATGGCCTTAAAAACAGGAAAGAAGGCTATCCCGACCCTATTGACTACGTTGACAGCCACCCCACCAACATCTCAAAAAACTATCGAGGAGTCTTTAATAGGGGAAAAGCAGCCTAATGTCCCCAATATTAATATACAAACTTCCATATTAGCCTTGCAGGAAGCTATATCTAAAATGCAAGAAATGATGATTAAAAATCACAAGGAAACTAGAGCAGATATAAGCGAATTGAAAGATGAGATGGGGAAACTGAAGGCTGAAATGAAAGCGGATATATCGAAGGTGGAGGATAAGATAGGGTCTCTACAGCAGGCCATGGAGAGAAATGAAGTGAAAATAAAAGATATAGAGAGTAGAACAACATGCATGGAGACTAACTTTGAAAGGATGGATGAGGAATTTAAAAATGTACTTAGAGAAATGGAAGACTCTCTGGTCCACCTCGAGATGGACAAAGCAATGGCGTATTTAAGATTCCAGAATGTGGCGGAAGCAAAAAATGAAGAATTGGAGCATTTGATGGCAGAAATATTGGCTGAATGGCTAGGAAAGGAAAAAAATGATCTAATTAAAGAGTTTGATGAGGTATATAGGGTTAGCACAAGCTACGCCAGGCGTAACAACTGTCCA